AAGGCCAACGGCGAGGAATCTCGACTAGCAAATCAATGGTCGTGGGTTCGAATCTCAAGTGCGGTAGAGTTTTTAATAAAAGCCGATAGCCTTTAGATGCTAGTCCTTTTAAGAGTTTAATCTTAGAATTTATTTCTCTGGCGAAATTAATAATAATAATAATAATAATAATAATACAAAGGCCTCTATATCGATTCTTTTAGTATCAAAATCAACTTTACAACTTTGTGTAAGCGTGCTCGATATTCTCCAGTTGCTGTAGGACAACTCATAGAGTACAAAAGTTAATTTTTTATATTGTATCCATTGTGGTTTTTAAGTAACGAGCAGAAAACCAAATTGTTGTTCTTTTTGCGCATAGAGATGACCTCATTTTATGTTGTGGCGTGGTCATATCCTTCGACGGATTTCCCTCGTTTTCAACGCCAACCTGCAAGGTGGATCTTCCTATATTTTGGCCAAATTTGAAGCCCATTGGTAATTGCCAGTCGCGACCAGGAGTACGCTAGCGTAACACAAACAGAGATAAACCAACAGACGAGTAGACGGACAAATTTAAATCAGTTGAGGGTTTGATTCTGATCAGGAATACATGCGGTCTCTGAGGCTTACTAATCGGTATCACAAACGTCGTGACAGAATAGATAGATGGATGTAATCCTCATCCTTTATAGATTGGTATAAAAAGCAATGAATAGAGTAAGTAATAGGCAACTAAATTCGCTTACAAGTAAAAATAACATCCTCGTTTAAATTTTAGATAGGATTTTAAATCCTTTCGTGTGGTAATTTATTGAAACTTGGGTTGCCTTTTACCTTTGCTTTAATGAATATATATATATATATATATATATATATGTGTGTATATATGTTATATATATCCACTTGAATCTTTTTTTCAGGTTTTTTTTATATTTTTGTTTTTTTTTTTTTGCTTGCATTGTAGATGAATAAACCTTCTAAACAAAACAACCTACAACAAATGCTCTTCAACTATTGTATAAAAAAAAAAAAAAAAAAAAAAAAAATATGAGAAAGAAACAAAAAAACGCGAAAGAAAAGCAAAAAGAAAAACGTAAAGAACACATATTGTGAAAACATTTCCGAGAGTTGCAATTAAGGAATAGTTTGTATTGACGGGAAAATTAGCTAGTTTTCAGAAAAGTACATGTTATGTATGACTGTATTGTATTTATGTTCATAGATATAAACAACATGTAAATGTTGTTCTTTCTTATTTCATAAACTTCATGGAGTGAAGTACGAATGTTATATATATATATATATACAAATATATGCATTATATAAAGGCGAAATGTGTGCCCACATTGAATAGCTATTGTGACTGTGTAGTACTTTAGTTACTTTGCGTAACAAACTACTCGAAACAAGGAAATACATACAAGTATAGGATATATATATATATATATATAGAGAGAGAGAGGGAGAGATAGAGAGCTTAACAATGTTTTAAGAAAACAGAGAAATTATGTTAAGAATGTTGTAATATCAAAAACCTCCATTAAGAGCCGACAATACACGTCTCTTGACATGGCAATAATTTATATAACAAATCATACAAATAAATAGAAAAAAAAAAAAATAAAAAAAATAATATAATAAAAAATAAAAATAAAAAGAGTGAACACATTCAACAGCAAAAGCAGAAGCACAACAACATAACACACAATACTGTAATACATATTTATTGAACTATTGCTTCGAAAAATCTAAGACAAGTTGATGTTTAGGGCGGGATTTTCCTAAAATAAAATATATGAAACTTAGACTTGGACGAAGAAAAAAATTTCTATTCTTATCAACTATTACTTGTTAAGAAAGAATATGGAAAGGAATCGATTACAGTCAACTAGATTGGATAAGTAATTTTTTGCGGTTCTTTTTTTTTTCATTTGGTTTATCTTGCTCATATAAAAAGTAAAGATTTGCCATTATTTTGTACGGGAAGTTTTCCTAGAGCTTTGTTGATCAATGCAAGCCTGCTTCCAGCAAATCCTTCATACTTTGATTAGCTGGCTTGTCTTTGTCAAATGCTATAAATAATCATTAAATGTTTAAGCAGTAATTGTTCGAATCGTCATTTCATTAATTGAAATGAAACCATATGTTTTCTGAGAATTTGCATATGATAAAATATTATGCAAGATGTCTGAAGTGGTTTATAAAGCGTAGACATCATTTCAAATGATTTCTCAAAATTTTGATTGTGAATTAAGATATCGACGACCAATTTTATTATTAAAAATCGGCCAAATTTATCAAAGCATATGTCCACAGTGAAGGCTAACTCGAACGTAACTTCTTTTCTTTAAAAAACAAAAAAAAGAAGACATTCGTGGATACTATTACAGGGTGATGGCCAGAAAGAGGTAAGAAAAAACAGACAAAAAGTAATGGAAGCCTGGTAGATGTACGCCTATATTCATGACCATACTACACCAATCCTTATTAAACTATGATCTATTGCACCGACAATTGAACCCGGATGTGCAGACCTAATAGTTGTGTTGTCTAACTATTTGCCTTTGCAATGGTTATTAGGAGACGCAACCAATAATCGTTGAATGCAAAAGATTAAAGTCACAATATAATTACTTTTCAGCCTACTAATGGGTCGGTCTATATAGTAGAGATAAATCCCGCGGAAAACGCTAATGGCATTGAACTAATATGTGCCACTATCTTCGTCGTTCTACTCACTAGATACCAGAATTTTTGATTTCAATATATAAGCAACCGTTTCAAACGGTTTGCTGTTCGAATAGAACTTATATTCCTGGATTAAAAAAAAAAAAATGGATATTCTCGAGACAGTTACGTCCGTATTATAAATAAGCTACGTTTGATTAGGTATTTAAAACGATATCCTGAATAACATCATATTGCTATTCATTACTTTCATTATCATTATATATACGTGTGGAACTTTAGTTACCCTTACAAAGCGGATTTTACGCTAAACATTTGAACATAAGTTTTGTTAAGGTTATGTAAAAAAAAAAAAAAGAAAAAAATAAGCAAGTAGGAGAAAGAAAGAAGGAAAGAAAAAACGTATACGCAAAATACGCATATACTGCGGAGGAACATATGCAGCCGACGGGAATTCGAATTAAAAACATACCGCTAAGCCGACGTAAGCATGCAAAAAGCTTGGCAACCTATTGTATGTCAAGTTTATTAGCAGTGCTTTGATAGATTTTATTGAATTTGATATTCATATAACACACATATACATATTTATCCGTGACCAATTTTGAATAAAGCCTATGACCTATGATCAAATTAAATCGAAATCCTTGTATAAATATCAAACGAATCGAAAAAATCAATGAAAAAATCTACATTTCCCAGCTTATATGAATCAATAAACGATCTCAGCAGTGAAATACATTTCATCTTTTTAATAAAATCTTCTCATATTTCTTTAGGTTTAATGTTATAGGATTAAAAAAGAGTACAATATATATTATAGAAATCAGATTGAACGACACTCGAATAGATTTCAACAATGTAGCGAGAAGTTGATTGGTGTAATTACGGAAGGAATTAATCGCTAATATACTGCTGCTTTGAAGCGCATCTAACATTACGAGAAACTTATCGCAGATAATGCACTTAAAAAGAATTCGGACAGATGTACTATTGAGCTCTTTATATATATATACATATGTATATATATTTAATATATGCAATGGCAGATACTAAAATCTTAGCTTTTCAAATATTCCTAAATCGATTTAAACTTTAGTTAAGGATCCATTACATCAAGCACTTAACTTATTTTCTCAATACAAACAAAAAAGGGAATTGAATAACCCAAGCATTGGCAAAAATCTTAAATCCCTTAAATCTTCAGTAATCAAATATGTCTTCAAATTCGATTATCAAATATAGGGCTTGATATCTTCGCTAAGAATCTACTACTACTAGTAATGATCTGCAATAGAAATCATTGATATATGCCTTAGCTCTATTAAATGCTAATATCTAGACCACATAGCCTGGGTTATTAATAAGATGTTAATAAGTGACGTGTACGTTAAGTTAAAATACGTCAACGCATCTATAGAATAATTTCGGATGGAACATATATTAATGCATAAGGTATCGACATCTTATTTTATATTTATTCTAAGGGGCACTCAAATAAAATAATCCCCGAAAATATTAATTAAAAATGTATACCATATAATTGAAAAGGAAAAAATGTCCAAATTATGTGAATTTTTATTTTTCCATTTATTTTAAACGACGGAACATAACTTTTGCACAACCATTTAATAGAAATAATTACCTAATAAACATAACAACTTTCGTAGATATGACAAGATTTCATGTAACATGTTATGTTACAGAATTTTTGTAAAAACTATAAGAAAAAAGAAAAAAAAAAGAAAAGAAAAAACACAAAAATTGTGCCTTTTTTTTTTCTTATAAAGTTTTCAAAAACAGCACTTACCAACATCCGAACAATTTACCATTTTGACTTATTGGCATTGATACAAAACATTTTTGTCGTTTTTCATCTTTATAACCAAAATTTTTAATACCTTTTTTCTCCATTTTTTTTTTTTTTTATATAGAATTCAATAATGACTTCAATACTAAATTATAACAGTTTGAAAATGTTAAGAGAAAGCTTATAAAGTTTATATGAATTTTAAGAGAGAAAATATTTGCAATGCAAGAGTGATAAGCATAGGTGAGAGCAAAAATTTGGTTTGATAGAGAGATTGCATTTTAAATAACTGTTATAATATCGTTAAGGTTTAGCACAATTGTGATATAAAATCAGGTTGGCTTTGCTAAGAAAAAACAGTTGATTGGTAAACGTGCTCATTAACGGTATGCGTAACGTGTTGACTGTTAGGACGCGGCAAACATATATACCGTTAAAAAATATATAAATATAATATCAAAAAAAAAAAAAAAAGAACAAACGAAAAAAAGGAAAAACTAAAACGCAAAAAAAAAAAAACAAAAAGAAAAAGAAAAAGCATAACAAAAATAATGTTAATAATATTAAATATGCATAAGAAAAACGAATAAGTTTGACAACAGGAGTGTAAGGTTAGATCAAGGATAATTATCTTACGTTACTAATATACATATACAAATGTACGTACATGTACAATATATATATATTACATTGTATATGTAAACCTATATGATGTGATGTGATATATATATGTGCATAAAACTAAAATGCTTATGCAGTGTTTCCATTGATAATAAGTAAATGTTGGGATATATATGTATATATATATATATATATATATATATATATATATACATAATCTTTTATTTATTTATTTTTTTTTTTGCTTAAGCTTCAATTTATAACGCCAAAGGTGTGCAAATTTTCATATATTTAGCTATCGTATTCCAACACAAAAGTAGAAGTGTGAATATTTAAATTTATAAAGAGATAATTATAAAGCTGGCCTAGAGCGGCTAACTCACATTTCACTATTGAGTGAACTTAAGCCAGTATCACATATAGTACACACAAGCCCAGCAAGTGCAAGGCAATGTCAAGCATTTAAAATGTTTCCACCACTAAAAATCTCAACTTATAAACTTACATATATATACTTATAAATAAATAAATATATATATATATGTATATATATATACATAGATATATACATATATATCCATATATATATATATGTATATATATACATATATATATATATTTTTTTTTTTTTTTTTTTTCATTTTGCGACCGTGTGTGTGTATTCACGCGTTTGTGCATTTAGACACGTAAACACTAACACTTATCAATTATGTTTGCAAATTCATCGGTGCGTATGTGCAATGTAATGAGCAAAGCATTTGGCTTTCGGGCTTTCGGGGCCATTTCGTGGCGCTCGCTGACATTGGTTTGGTTGTTGCTTTTAATGAGATTTTATGCTAAATATATTTTTGAGAATGCAGAAAATTACATTACATGGCCAATAACAAAACATGGAGTAAAATAAAAAATAAATAAATAATAATAAGGTTTAATAATATTATTTTATACGACTATTGTGCGTTGTGTGTAATGCATTTTCTTCAATTTTCTTGTCAAATGCAATCAATTAAAGACTTCGCTGTGTCCATCAATCAAATCAATAAATAAATTTAAGAACAAAAAATAAACAAAATTCTTTCAATCAATCACTAAATTAAAAAATTAAAAAAAAAGTCAATCAATCATAAAATAACAGAAACAAAAAAAAAAAAGAAAAAGAAAATAATTTTTTCCTTTAAACGAATACAATGAAATATTCTTACATGCACTTCAAAGGAATAAAAAGCAAGAGGAAACTAGGATAAAATAATAGAAAAGCAAAGCAACGTAATACAAAAAAAAAAAAGAATAAATAAATAAAAATAAATAAATAAATAAATAAAAAAAAAAAGCAAAGAAAAAATAATTTTCTCACGTAATTATATATCTCAAAGGAAAGGTACTTGTTGTAAACACTAATCTTACTTTCGAATAAGTTAAGCAAAGGAATTTTAAAGTTTTCCTCCTAAAAAAAAAAAAAAACGAAAATGCAAACCGAACGTAATTTGCAGAATATTCAAAGGATTTACAAATTATTTTCAACGCATTATAAGTTAAAAAACAAGAAAGAAATAATTATTATTATTATTTTATTTTTGTTTTTTCAGATCTAAGTAATTATCGTTTAGGTGAAATAAATGAACCAGTTGTTGTGAAACGATTATAAAAACAATGTATTAAGAATTATTTTAAAGAATAACGAGCGAATGGATATTTTGTCAATTAATCGCTTAACAAACAATTTAGCTTTCCTAAGCTATATTCTATAGCGTTGGATGTGCAGAAAATTTTTGCTTTGGATTAATTATACAATCGGTAAAGTTGACTTTTCATAAATATTATCATAAATAGCACAGAAACTATATATAATTATCTAACACTGTTCTAAGCATAGAATATTAGACTATATTTCTTGCGTTATGTTAATGTAAAGGCAACACTAACTAATAAAACAATACGTTTTAATGATCCATTTTTCCTTGCCTGTGTAGGGAACCCGTGTGATTCAAGAAATCGTGATAGAAGTTTAAAGTTTGGCGCATTTATTTTGTGTTTGGAAATCGATTTCCAAAATCTCTCCTTCTATTCTTCATCTCTGTAGCATTTTTGATATTGAAAGTTGCCAAGATCGAAAACGAAAATGATTCGTTTCACATTTCTAGTATATTCTGATTCAGATCATTTGTTTTCCTTATTCATATAATCAGTTGTGAATTAATGCGTATGCATTTACAGAACGGCTAATGAAAAATCGTCAAGGCCCCGTTGAGGCGGTCCGTCCATCCTAAATGCACGAATAAATATGAAAGACTAAATTGCAAGTGAAGTCGCAATTATTTAAAGTTATAACTATACTTATCAGATTGCTAAAGTTTCGTAATATATATATGCATATCCATAACTGATTTTGCCTTAATTAGTTCTGACTGTTGTTGTAACCAATAATCGAATTACAAATGGTTTGATATTTCTTAGGACACTGAACACATATTTATCAATAATTTTCCGCTACATAAAGTAGACATCTAGGTGATATTTAAGAAAGGCATATTTCATTTTGTATATATATATATATATATATATATATATATAGTCATCGAAGAAGTGTTTGTTTTTTCTTCTTTTTCAAAACTTAAATATAAAAGATATTCACATAAATTTTCTTTTATTTTAGTTATTGAATAATGCCATTATTAATTAAACATGATATCGTCTCTCGACCAATAATGCGAATAATCTTGATCAATAAGGTTATTCAGAGTTCGCGATTTATATTAGTAACCCAATGCTCCGACACATTATTCCAACGTGAGAAACCAAATAAAGTTACATCGTATGATCTTTGCCACATTTCTCGACATTGAACGATCGTTCAATTCCTCTCCCAATAAATGGATTTTATCATAAAATCACCATTTTGTTGAAACCACATCCCGCTCAAGACGAAATCACTTACTTTTTATCAAAAAAAAAAAAAAAAAAAAAAAATGCAGTTATCATGTCATTCACTGACGGTAACTGTAATGCCATTTTCATGTTTAAAAATGACACTTTGGACCAAAAATTAATTTTTGTACACATATAAAGTCATTTAAGAATATCAGATGTGTGTTTTCTTTACACCGCAGTGGCAAGAATCCTTATATACGAGGACATTTAATCAAATATAAGCTTTATCCGATATGCAGGATATATAATCAAGGATTTATTGTTTGTGTAGTAAGTTTTCACAATTGTTGGACGCTATACAATCACATACGATTTGTATTCCACAAGTAATTGCATGATCCAGGCAATAGATTGAGACCAAAATTTGATCCAAATTTTAATTAAAAGAATATTTTATTTACGTTTTTATTTCATATCAAGAAACGGGCAACACTACACGTTCAACTTCAGGCTGCAGGAGTTGATTGATATCCACAACTTTTTTCTGTTATTGTTACTTATCTTCTTTTTTTTTTTTAAGATATGATCAATCATTCAAGGAGTATCCTTTACAGCTGTAAAACGTGGTAAAACGGTGACGGGGTAAGAAGTAAGGGAGAAGAAAGATGGGTAGGTGGTGGGCTCACTACAGCAGGGACCAAGCAAGCTCTAACGCACTTGAGATCTGAGAACCCGTAAACACTGATAAATATTCGTTTATGTTGGCTAATAATAAAAAATATACTTTCCTGTTCTTCTTTTCGCTTTTAGTCTACACGTGAATCTTTGGATTTATTTTTCGATTTGACATTTTTGATATTTTTTTATTCGATTTTATTCGGTATAGATGAAGTTGGTCTTCGAATATAGAACAAGAAGTTTTCCTAAAAACAGATAGACATTTCTTATTAGTAACATAATCCCTTTGTTGGGAGCATCATTACTTGGCCTCAAGAATGCAAATAAAAATAACTTTTTCTATTTTCTATTATATATATGTATATATAATTCTAAATTCGATTTATGACTCGGGAAAGAAGCTAAATGGAAAAATGTTTCTTGTAAAAAAAATTTTCATGGCAGCTGGATATTTTTTTTCGGAGCTGTTGTCTTAAATCCGAGTACTTGAGCATTATAGCGAATTGATGATAACAATCTTTTAACTTGATAGGCAAATACTATGAACAGATTTAAGAATTATTTCTGCTCAGCTTTCAATTTTCGAAACTCTTCTCTTAATGATAGCTAACCGAGTTTGATGGCACATTATTTTTAGGTAAAAATTTCCAATAATTCCTGATTGATTGCGACAAATATTTTTACAATTTATAATAATTTGACTATGTCTTATCACCTAATATAAGCAGTCACAATTCATGTCTATCCGAATAGAGGTTAACAAACTTTTAGTGAAAATCTTGTATGTGTGTGTACGAGTGCGAATAAATGGCAATCAATTTTAGATAAGGTATTTACAGAGTTTTAATCAATTTTATTCCGCAAATTTCATATCAATAACTGTTGCAGTTTGTATGTAATGCACTATAAGAATATGAAATACATTGAAATAATAATAACTGTTGCGCTAAGGAAGTATGGCAATCTGCACCAATACGTGCCCTTCGATTTCCCGAAGTCAATGAACGGGAAAATGGCAACACCTGTTTATTTAATACTTCCGCGAAGCTTAGGCGTAACTTTCAGCACTTGGGCTAAAGATATTTCCTACGCAGTTTGCAGCAAACATGTACTGAGCAATTCTTTTTAGGGATCCTTACCTCCGTGGGCAACCAATTTTTTAAGTAATGTATTATAGCTTTGAGCAAAGCAATATGTAGCCGACAGCACGCTTCCATTTGAATTTGCGATACGTTCTTAGAGGGCATCTCCGAGGGTATTTTCCGTTAGGCGAAGGTACATCGCCGCGATCCAGCTGCCACTAAATTCTCAAGTTACTTGGTAGTTTTTAGTATTATCAAAATTATCTGCATCGGTATCCTTGACACCTTGAAAGGCGGACAAAAAGCAATAACAAAATAGTGCTGACTTTTAGTCTTTTAAGTTATCATGCTGTAGCTTCCAAGAAGTCATTACACAACATATAACTCAATAAGCTCGTAGTATGACGTACAGATTTAGGAGAGAAGTTTTAGAAAATACCAATCTAAAGATATGAAGTGTTTTAAAATGTCATAACACTCCGGCCGTCAGTTTGCATTTTACAGTTATTTTGATGGCGTAACACAGGGAATACAGATTCCTCCACTGTTTTATAAAAATGACGGTAACGTTACCAAAACAACATATGGATTCATTAAGAGAGATGACATCTACCAAACCATGTATTATGTGATTAAACAAGACGGAGATTACGGAAAAAAATTCGTTACTTCAATAGTAACGATTTACGTTAAGCCAGTAGGTAATTATGAAGGAAGCAGTCAATGTTTGCGTGTTTCCTTCAGAAACTTTTCATTTCCTTTGTCTTATCAAACTCAAAGAAGAACAATTAATCAAAAGAGATTGAAATAAGGAATATTTTCGCAAAAGATTTGGAAAACCGAATCGTTATCTTTTTTATTATTGCGGGTGATAAGAACTGTATTGCGTTAAATATATTACCTGAGAAACTAGAAGGAAAACGAAATTATGTAACTTGCGGAAAAGACAAGCAAGAATTATACGTGTATTTTTCGCTTGACTCATCTATGCCTATACAATTGTGAGCCTTAATAGGAAATTTGTTTGATCCGTTAACCTTAACTCTTTAATTAATTTATTAATTTATTTGAAATAATTTAATATTGCAAAAAAAAAAAAAGTTATGCTTAAAGCAAGTGGACTATTAAATTATGTGGAACTATTTAAATTAGTGTAAAAGCTTTAGTGAAAAGTCGAACCGCCACTCAATGTCTGCAGGATTAATAGATAGTGAAGAAAAAAAAACCTCTTTACCTATTTCTCTCTTTGCTGGATACTAGCTACTAATAGGGGATGCAGATCAGAGGAAAAAACAAGAATTATATGTTATATGTTATTGAAGTTTTTGTTCCCTTTCTAACCAATTATATATGTTTTTGTTTTTTATTAGCTTTTATATATAAAAAAGAAGGGGGAAAACCTTTTCGTGTGCATTCGTCAAAAAGGCAACTTGATGCAGGCGTCGTCCAACCTTATGTAAGGATTTAGATGAAATGCTTGATAACAAGCCAAAAATCATGACCACATAAAACTATGATGACTTGGGGATGCTTTATTCCCCTTTTTGAGCGAGCTCTATTACTTTTCAAAAGCGTACTCCAAATAGACTGTTTTTTGTTCTTTTGTACTTCTTTGTACTTGCATAGAAGTATAAAAACTTTAACGATCATTATATGCAAACTTTTAAACGTTCGTATGCATAATGTCGTCTACGACATGCATTGTAACGTTAAGAACGACAACTTTCTTGTTAGGACACGCTTCTTGGGTTAATGAAAATAAGAAAATACAACTAGTATGTCATAAATCAATAAATGTGCATAATAAAATTTAAAAAAAATTTAATTACACTAAAAAGAAAATGAGGTAGAATGATGTCTATATATACATATATATACCGTTAATACTAAAAATTCGGAGGGATTTTTTAACTTTAACGTTAATACTAATGGCTCTTAACGATATTAGATTGAAGATCACACGAAAGGTATTGCGATAGTTTTAAGAAATTCTACGAATGTCTCAAGAGACAAATAATTTAACGATGAGAAGTTTTTAAAACGATTATCTTTACAAAGTACGAATTAACAAAACTTTTAATTATTGTATACTACTACTACAAGTGCATTTGCCTTCATAGCAAATGTTATACTGAGATGAAATCCTTCAAAGCGTTTTCAATCGAA